AATTAAAACAACACTGAGATTCTACCTCATCCCACAAACAACAGCTGTCCTCAAGAAATCAACAAGTAACAAATGCTGTTGGGGACACAATGGTGTAGGAAAACTCTCTGGGGTTGTGAGAGTGCACACTGGCACAATCAATTGGAAGCCAGCATGGAAATACCTCAAAAGGATTAGAGGTACCATTCGACCCACTTATTCTACCCCTTAATATCTTCCTGTAAGAATTGAAGGACCAGGATATAGTAACACATGTGCACAAATCTGTGCACAAATAGCAGCAGAATTTGTAATAGCTGCATGTAGGAAACAATCCAAATGGCCACAATCGAGGATTGGATAACAAAGATGTGGAGGTTTTATACAATGGAGTCTCCTCAGCTGTAAAGGATTAACTTGAGAATTGTATAGGTCAGTGGATACAACTCGAGATCACACTCAGAAGTGAAATAAGTCAAAATCACATGAGTAAAGATTATGTCCTCTCCCTGGTGTGAGAAACTAAAAGCGTAAATAAAGTTGAAAATATACAAAATATATTGCAAACTGGGAAGAAATTGTTCAAAACAAGAAAGGAACTAGGATGATGGGAAGGGCCAAGAAAGGGAAAAACAAAATGTGAGAGAGTTCAACTATGAGGTGGTCCTAGTTCATTGAAAGAAAGGTTGTGCTAATATAGTCTGGAGAAGTTTTTGTGCCCAAATTTTGTACTCTGAGTACATACTTTAAAGAAAATAATATACCATGTATTAACAATTGTCATTCACATTTTCTTTGGAACTTTTGTTCTACATTGTTTGATAAAATAAAAAAAGGTATGAGTGAGATCTACGGTCTCAATTATTTTTCCATTTTCCTTTTGTTGATTGAGTTTGGCATTCATCTCACAAGTAAGAAAAGGGAGACTGAGACCCCTTGGAATAGCCTGGTAGCCCAGTGTCCTGGAAAGGCTTCTCACTGCCTTTCCTGCTCTTCCAGCAAACTCCCAGGCCACACAGATCCTGCAGTAAGGGCCCAGGAGGCAGAAGATTCAACCACACCAGTGTCACATCTATATGTGCATCACTAGAGTAGTTGGGACTCAGAAAGGGAGGGAAGTTTCCATGAAATATGCCAAACGGCCCAGAAACATATGTATGTCAAATACAACAAGATCTGTCACATTTCTAAGGTACTACTTTAGCACAGGAAGAATTGAAAAGCCCACGAACACATGCTTCTTGCTACCCTCTAAAAACTGTCCTTTTAGAAATGCCTGCCCAGAGAGGCGCTTGGTGGTCCTCTTAACACTGTCTTGTCAGTTTACAAAAGATCCTTAGCTCCATAACCTATCATGAGCATGTCTCATTTGTCTGCTGTTTGGCCCTATTTCAGAAGAGAGGTTGGGACACTGAAAGCCACCCTCTCTCTGCACCTCCAGTTTTTGGAGGTACTTTGGCTGGTGGTACTTCTGCAAAGTGGGTGGCAGAAAGAAGAACTGAAAGACTAGAGGACCAGCAAGTGTCACTTTCATCAATGCCAAAGGCATCTGTGGTGCAAGGAAGAGACCAAGGGGCCCCTGAGCTGTTCCCTGGGGAAGGGATGTTGGGCAGAGCCAGAAGCATTCAACACTGACTGCCATTCTGGCACAAGAGGTCTTGGGGTCTGTACCCACAGAGTAAGGCAGCACATCCACCTGAGCCAGGGGACATCTACTGTCCTCCAGAGCAGGTGGCACCTGCAGGGTCTGAGATACATGACTAAAGTTTCCTGTTCTCTGCCCCTTACCTGATCACTGTGCTTGTGGCTGTAGCACATGCACCATTGCTGGTCTGGGGACCTGTATAGCAGAGTATACAATGAGAACCCTCAGGCTGGCAGCTCTTTCTCCCTGATATTCTCTTCCTGGTGAAATCCTTCACTCCTGCCCAAGGTATGTGATCCTCCTTGATTTAACATGTGATGTGTGAACTTGGACAACTTATTAATCACACAGAACCTAAGTTTCATCACCTGTAACCCTTTGGGTTTCCTTGCCTGACAGTATATTCAGCTGCACGAATGACATAGGGAAGGCCTGGCCCACAGCAGTGATGCCATTGTCCTGGGTTGGGATGCCTCCCACTGAGAGCCACAGCTGGGTAGAATGCTCAGTTACTGTCACTTCCAACCAAGGGTTCCTGGAGCAGAGGGCTGCTCTCTAACTCAGCCAGGGCACAGAAGACACTGTCCCTCCTCCCAACCATGCTCAGTGCTGCCTGTGCCATTTGCCTGTCACAACATGGGCTGCAGTCTCAGACAGGGCCTGACTCACAAGAGTGTAAGTCATGTAGGACAGAGGACATAGAACACATATTCCCAAAATCACCAGCAGTGTCCTGAATTATGCTTGCAGAGAGAACTCATTGCCAGAAGGCAGGAACACCAAGCATGACATGAACCTCAGATGGATCTGGTTACAGGAATAGGGAAAGAAATGGGACCATCCTGAAAGGGCAAGATGACTGAGGGAGAGATTCCCACAGTTAACTCCTAGTGTAGCTTTTACAGGGGCCAGTCCTGGGCTCGGTTCTCTGAGCTGACCTTGGACTCAGACATCTGCATTTGGTCACAGTGTGGGGTACACAACCTTGAATGATGCCTGGCTTTTCTTTGAGTGTGTAGCAGCAAAGCTCCGCACCCAAATATAAGCTGAGTCCTGAGGGTGTGAGCCTCACATGCATAGAATACACTCAGAGCTCTCCAAGGAACAAAGACATGCACGGGCCTCAACATGCAAGTGCACGTGCACGTAAACATCCTCCACAGTTGAAGGATACCCCTCTCTAGTCTCATCTGGCTCCACTGGGGACCCACAGGTTATTAGCAGCCCATCAGATGCTAACAGCAGCACAGTCCTACAGGAAAGCTCTGAAAGGGCCTCGCAGTTTGAGAGTAATCACCAGAACCCATAGACACGACTTCTCCTTTGGGCGTCCACTCCTCACACAGAACCACCACAGTGTATGAGCTGCTCCATGGCAATGATGGCTGCCTCAGACCACAGCAGCACAGGGCAGAAGTCGTTGAGGGAAACAGCAGCCTCCCCAGAACTGGAGACACTAACGGATCTCCGACTCATCACGAAGTTGCAAGTAAAGGAGCTTCTCCTTGAGGCTGCAGAGGACATGAGCCTCCTTACTCTCTGGATAGTGTGCTGGGCTGGAGCATACTTGCCACCTAGTTGCCTGAGCTCAGGCATTTCTAAGAATCCTGGAGATAACCACATTGAGTGGCATTTTGCTGCGACCAGCCTTTACCTTAAGGGGAACCCGATGGGCTTTTCTCCTTAATGCAAGGAAACCACAAGGCCCAGGTCAGATGGGGAAGCAGCCTTGGTAGTTTTGCAAACTACCAAGAGAGATCCATGCATTATAAAACCCATGACTTCTCATATTTTGCAATAATGCTGCTCCCCTCCGCCACTTCAGGCATTGCCAATGGATTAGAGTGTGTTCTGTGTGCAGAGACACTGCACTTTTCTGACATATGATGCCACAATCATGGGGTCTTCACATCTTCACCCACAAGGGTTCTTCCTTCATGCTCGACTGTTTCCTTGGCACCTGCAGGAACACCTCAAGTCTTAATATACAAATTTATGACTTGATGCTCAGCTAGTCAATATGGCCCTAAACTGTTCATACTGTAGCCAGATTCACCAAACCCTTAAATACTGAGCCGCTTAATCTACCAGGTGCTATAACTCCAGGGAAACGATCCTACCTACAGGTTTCAACATGATTTCCACCTGGCACAGGAGATGAGGCCCCTTTCCCTTTTTCAACATAAGGGAGATGCTCCATCTCTCACTTCACTGCTGTCAATCCTTGAGAGATGACACTTCCACCTTTCACTAAGACACAGTGGTCTCTGGACACTACCCTGCAGAGAGATCCGAAGTCATGACCATCCTCATAGCAGTATTGATCTGCGGACCAGCACATTGGTATCAGTTCAGCAGCATCCATGCAGGTATACATTTTCTCAGGAGGACTCACTTCCCTCTCCACAAATGTGGTGCCATTTACTTAACCAGAAGGAGCAGGATGCTAGGGCAGAAAGCAGTGCATTTGCTTAACTATCTGCAGGTGCATTAGGACTCCATATCCAATAAACCTGGACTCCAAATCCAGTAAACCTGAAGGCTGCATGTGAATACATCCTAAAAAATCCCAGGCACACAGTGTTCATGCTGCTCACGGTGGGTGAATGTCAGTTCACAACCCTGACTGCAGTGGGGTTAGGTAGAGTCCGAGGCACACATCCCCAGTTGAGACAGGCTAAGGTTGCGCTTTCTATATCCTGAGCCTCCTGAAGGAGAGATTTCCTTCCTGGCATCATGCTTCGGTGTGCTTGGCCCACGTGGTGCCAAACAATCCCACAACCATGATCGATCCACAGGCCAGCCCTAGAGATCTGTACTCCATCCTGGAAGCCACATAGTGCCTACTTATCACTCTCCCAGGGGTTTCCAGCACCACCCTCCCAGCTCCCCACTATAGGAGAAGGCAGTGCAGAGACTTTCACCTGGGCTTTGAAATTCCTATGCTGCTCAGAGGATACTATGTGCTCTCATGGTTGGACCCACGAATCGAAGCTGCTAATGGAGATCTGAACCCACTCCCAACCCTGTTGGTCTATTGGAGTTTGTATCCCTGTCACTCCCTGTCACCTAAGAAAGTGTGACCTGTGATGTGCAGGCGAGTGTCTCTGGCTGAACTGTCATAATTCACAACTCCATTTACTCAGCCTTTGCCAGGACCCTTAACAACAAAGGCTTCACTGCATTGGATGTGAGGAAGACATAAGCACGGAGAACTGCCGAGGACAGGAAGTTCTGCTGGGGAGGCATCTCAGGGCCCAGATCCACACAACGTTGCCCAAGCACCCTTACCCAACTGTGGCTTCAACTATGCAACAGAAAATAAGCCAGGAAAAAAACCCTGCATTATGACACCCCTCCAAGTGGCCCTTAAATAGGACAAGTCCCTTGCATATTGTGGTTCGTGTCGCTTCTTGAGACCAGGAAAGAAGACCATTGTCGGTGCACCTCCTCTGCCTGCCCAGCTTCAGTCCAGAGCAGTAAGTACTGCAAACAGCTTGTGTATTTTCTCTGTACTTGTGTCCTGGAAGCTGGCTGCCGTGTGACCCCTAAAGGGAGCACAGATGCTGGGCTCTTCTAGTGGGACTCTTGTGACCACTGAGGAGAATCACCTCTGCAGGGGTCATGAGAAATGTGAAGGTTCTCATCGAAGCACAGGTGTCCTATGCTTCCAACTTAGTAGAATCCACACTGGATTCTTAAAATTTTTTCATGTTAGCAATATCTATTCATGTCTTTTAATCAACATGTTTCTTGATTGCTTTTGAACTGTGTCAGTTTCTCATAAATTCTGGATATAATTTGTAAATCTTTTACTATTTCTTGATTTTCCTCTCTTGCTAGGCTATTGCATGCTCTGCACTTTTCAAGTTTTCTAATCTGATGGGATCCCACTTGTCTGCTTTTTCTTTAGTGGCTTGGGATGCTGCTATCCTATGCTGGAAGTCACTGCCTAGATCTATGTCCCCAGTTTCATCTCTTTATCTTCCTTTAAGAACTTAAGTAGTTTACTAGGTTACCTTTAGATCGGTAAGCATTTGGATTCAGATCCAGCTCCGGTTGCACACTTACACCCAGTCATCAGCCTGTGCACTGCGGATACACAGAGTTAAACTGTCATTCATATCTTGGAAAAGATAGAAAAAATAAGAAATTCAATGTGCTAGATCAACTCTCTGCCTAGGGTATGACTGAGTTCACCTTGCCCATCACCCAATACTGTAGAGGTTCTGCACTTGCTGCTGAAGGACTCCCCTCAACTACTAGCCCTAAAACCCTCTTCCTGGGGTGAAAATAGGAAGGCCTGGGAAGAGATACCTATTTGCAGCACTAGGACACAGAGCTGATCTAGAGACTACTTCCTCCCAGTAGCAGGGTGCACAGTAGAAATGGATTCATTAACACTCTGAGCACAGTGAATGAAACCAAAATTTTCTTTTAAGTTTTCACACAAAAAGTAAGTATTCAATCAAAGGGGGAGTGAGAAATATACAGCCACAGCTCAGGCATCAGTATCACTAAAAGCCTGAACTGAGAGAGATTGAGAAGACACAGCCAAGGCCTTGTGAAAGCTGTGAGACCATGTAACATCCAAGGAAGGCTAGAGCCATAGCAGCTCTCGCTGGAACCATCACACTTCTGCTCACTGTCCCCTCTGATTCAGCCCCATCCCCACAGGACAGTAAATAAAGGCTGACTTCTTCTCTCTATCTTCCTTTCCCATCTTCCAGGTGATTCCCAGCCATGAGAACTCTTGCCCTCCTCCCTGCTTGTCTCCTGCTGGCCCTGATACCACTGGCTGAGCCTCGCCCAGGACTTACTGACCAAGTTGACATTGAGATGCTCAGTGAGGGAAAGGACCATGTCACTGTCCTCTCCTTCCTAGAGGAAAAAAGTACCAGTGTTAGAGATGCAGGTGAGAGAAGTTAGCAGCACAGACATCAGGTTCAAGTGGGAGGTTGGAAGATGGACTCCAGAATTGGGTTTATATTTCAGTGACTACTTACCTGCTTTACCTGGATTTTCTTATTAACAGCTCAGTGAGTCCATGAAACATTCTCCAAGAAAGATTTGATTCCAAGGCATTCTTGTGACGATCACCTGGGTCAACACATGAAAAGACCTGCAAACTAGTTCTATCAAGATCTGAGTGTAGACTTAGCCATAGGGAGAATATTTCTTTCTGTCTATTGGGAGGATCTATAGTAACTGAACATGAGTGTGAGGACTTGTTCACATCAATATGCTGTAGGGGAGGAGCAGGGGTAGTGGAGACACATGACATGGGTCTGTCATCTCGGGTCTCATTACCCAGGGAGAATCCTGTGTGTTTGCCCCTGTGTCTGTGGTTCTCCATTCAGTTCTCCATAGTGCATTAAGCCCTGGATGCCACCCCACACAGAAGATAGTTGCTCAGGACTTGCTTTCCATCAGGGTTGCACAGAACTTCAGCTCTGCTACTCTCTCTGTCCCCAGGCGCATGGGCACACCGGCGCTGCCGATGCAAACTACGCTGTGGTTGTGGAGAACTCACCCTAGGATAATGCCCATGCTGGAATCGAATCTACAGATCGTGTTGCCACTAACCATCCTGTGAAAAACAAAATTTTGTAGCTTGCTTTGAGGCCTAGGAGAATTGAAAACATCTCTCACCTATGTCTTCCTTTTTTTTTTTTCTTCAATAAATTGCTTGGAATTGCTCTGCGTTGGTTACTTTCAATTTTCCTATGGAGTTACCTGACACTCTGATAGGAAACTAACACAATCTTAAATGACACTCTTCTACACAAACCCTTGGCACCAAGCACTAAGACTTTTAAGAATGAGGCCAGATTTCAAGAACAAAGAGAGTAATAGAAATAAAGCAAGGCTGCACACCGCTGGAGCAGGAACTCCTCTCTTTTGACTCTTCTGTCATTTGGTTGATTCTCAAAGGCCATTCCCATGACACAGGCAAGACAATCCATGCTGAGGTAAGATTGATACAGGGTAATGCTTTAACATTTTAAAAAAATAAAGTATTTTTCCAATGTGATGATATGTTCCTGAACAAAGAAAAGACATATATTTTCCGTTTAAACTGGGGCTGTTTCCCCTGCACAGTAATAACTTCATTTTCCATTTTAAATGTTTTGTCAAAGACTGTACTGAGTGGAAAAACAGCAGTTAACCTTACTGAGTTACACTCATCTGCAATAGCTTCTACTCACGTCTGTTAAGGCTGCATTTGTACCCATAACGTTAGTTTTCAAAATGACAAAATACAGGTGCAAAATTCCTCAGCAACAATTCACAACATGCGCCTTCTTGGTTACTGTTCACCTACTGAAACACTGACACCAGCTGTGAAATACAGCTTTAAATAACTTTCCAGGCAGAAAAGAACGTATTGAAGTCTGTGATCCCAGATATCCAGGTTTCCCATCGGTGCTCAGGCTGGTGAGGATCTCACATTCAGGATGTGGGGCAACTCTGATGCTTCAGGCAAGGACCTGGGGCTCAGGAAAGGACAGCATCATCTGTGCCCCACCTAAGCTCAGAGTCAGGATGGTGCGATCACAGCCCTGCCTACTGCCCTGTGGCCAAGACTGTCCCCACTGACATTAGGGCTCTGAGGGCAGCAACCTTCAGGGAATTTTCCTCTTTTCTGACAATAGGGCATGCCCACTGCTAGCCCTGATCTCTGTAGGGCCAGTCCTATACTTTTGAGGGGTGAAGTGTAACTTGCTTTTCCCTTCCCAGATGCTGACAACTGCATGTCTTTCCGTTACCTCTCCACATCACAGCCTGTAAAGAACCCTGCATGGGTCTGAGATGCCAGGGCTAGCATTGATTGAATAACTTCCCATGTGTGACTCCATAGCACAAGTGCAGAAAAAGAATGTCTGATTACACATGCCAGCTCTTACTGAGCTGACCACTGGTAGTGTGGCATGACGTCATAGGGTGACAGAGAGCCTGCTGTTTTCAGGGAAAGGCAGCCTGACTCAGGACCACTACCTTTTGACACTAGAACACTGTAATACTGGGCTCAGACACAGCCATGAGCACAAACAACAGCCATAAATCCAAGACCCCTGCAAGTCAGGGTCCTCTTTTCCAGTGGCCCCTCTACTGAAACTCTGAGGAGAGTCTCAGCATCAGAAGATCTGTATGTCTATCAGTCTGTTTGTGTGAGGATAGTGTGAGGACCAGTCCCCACCATATCCGTGAACCTCCACAGAGAGCCACAGAGGACAGAGGAAATCTCTGGGTCTGGCACACACGCACACACACACACACACACGAGCATTTCCTCCTTGGGTACAGGATGAAGGTCTCACACCAGGATTCAGGCAGAGGAAGTCAGGCTGCTGCTCAAGGTCCCAGTGATGACCAATGACATGGTTTTTGTCCTCCATGTACTTATCGCTATTTCCACTTGGGTAATGAGACCAGTCCTGCTTCCCCCTCCCAGCATCCATCCTTCACCCCATGCATCCAGTCCCCTCTAAGGGGCTGTAGACTCTCCTCAAATGTCACTTTTTCACTGAGCTCTCTCCTGATTTCCATAATTTAAATTGCACCACATTCCCCAACCATTTTTATTTATTTCTCAGTACACAATAAAAACAATCCCTCATATACACATTTTATTACAGGATTTCTGCAGCAAATCTTCCTGTAACTAGAATTAAAGCTCTGTGCTTTGTCATCATTGCACCTACTTTTTCCATAGGTCCTTCATATGTAGTTGGTGAAGCAAAAATTTTTATCAAGTTCATCAATGTGTTTCAACTCTACTTAGCTTTATGAATTTATATTACTATACCCAAAATAGGAAAGTACAGATATAAGCAGATCTCTATGTTATTTTATGACAGGTTACATTTTAAGAGCTAAATGATATCATATACAACTAAAAGTAAGAAAACATACAAAATTTTTTTGTTTGCTTTTTAGTACTGAGGATCAAACTCATGACCCTGTGCTTGCCAGGTAGATGCTTATGCCACTGAGCTAAATTCCTACCCAGAAAAATATAAAAATATTAATTTTAAAATCTCTGATAGTAGATAAATGTGATATCATAACATGAAAGAAAAGGATAGATTTTGTTGTGCATCTTACTCAAAGACACAACAGATACAGACAACCTGGATACAGCAGGAGAAAGGGAAGAGCAACCCTGAGACGGAAGTAGAGATGTAAGTGCAGGGCATGATAGCTCGCAGCTAAGGCCATCAGCGCTGAGGAAGAGCTAATGGGAGGTAACAGGTGAAGGTCTTCCTAGAAGACATCTCAGGACACCCTGTCCACCTATGGGATAAGGAACAACAGGAGCACCTCAACCAGTGGCAGCTGTGACATCCGATTTAAGCCATGGCACATGGTAACTCCAGGGACAAATATCACAATAAGATGGGAAAGAATCTCCAAAAACAAAGGCAAATTGGAAGCTTGCAGTAAACTCCTAAAATCAAAAATGCCATGCCTGTAAACAACTTATATACTAAATAGCAGCAGAATATTTGGTATATTTAGGCAAAATGAGTCACTGCTGTGAAAAGACAAGGACATCAAAAGGAAGTCAGGTGTGGAGCCAGCCCTCAGAAATGTAATTGACTTAGTCCCCTGCAAACGAAGAAGCCTGAAATACTCTCTCCTTCCCCCACCCCCTTCTCTCTTGGTCCAGGGCCTTGACTATGACTTCTTCAAGAATATTATGAATGTTATGCCAGAGGAAGGGAGCTAAAAGCCTCCATCATTAATCTCAACACAAATCTAAGCAACAGTTGGGAAGGGAAACATTAATTTCTTTGATAAATATCCATTTTTAAAAAGTTGTCCATATAAGAGAGTGAAAGTGTCTAAGGAAAAATATAAATGTTTAAAAAATGTTATTCCTTGAATGTTTGAAAGTATTATTTTAGCGTTACTAAAAATGAAAGGCCTCTAAAAATCACCTAAATTCTGAAGAAACAAGGTGGTGTTTATGAAATTGTGGCCATATTGGTGATCTGAAGATGTCCATAAGCTCACTAATTCCAGCCTATTTAAAGAAACTCAGATTTTTTTTCCTTGAAACACCTCCCCAGGAAAGCAATACCAATGCAATGCTTGGTGCTCAGGGACCTAAACCTGATGCTCATCTCTAACCTGTCAGACTCTGTGCCTGCCTCTCACTTAGAAGCAAACTTAATTCTCAAAGGCAGCACTGCCACCTGCTCTGGCCAAGACATGCTACTGTAGCGACCTCTGCTCAAGTTGTCTATAGGGCTGACTTCATCAGTGAGGGCAATGGGCACTGGGTCAGCATCTTATGACTGAGCAGGCTTCAGTAGGAAAAGACATCAGAGCTAAAAAGAAGAGAATATTCAACTGCTGGCCTTAACAGAACACTTTTCAGTAGAATCTATTTGCCTGGTCATTGCTCACACCTAGATATGGGAGCAGACACTGGGTAAACAAAGAAACACAAGGAACAAAGAGAAGGTCAGCATGCCTCAGGCACCTCATAGCATTCTTTATAAATCTTGGGAGAACAATGCCCTGGTGGATTAAAAAGGGAGACTATATACTTATGTTCTACTTGTTCAGCAAAAGCAGGATGGCAGAGAAATGACCCTTGAAAACTGGGTTTAGATGTCAGTTTTTCATACGTGTAGGGGGAAAGAAGAGAAGCAGGGATAAAGATGGAGTCATAGGAAACTCAAATAGGTAAGACTCTTATGAGGGCAGAAGATCACAGTGAGTTCAGGGGACTCTTTGATATTCCACAGACCCAGGACTTTATCTGGTACTGCGCACTCCATCTATTTACTTGATATCTACTTTTAATCCATAAGTTATTATGCAAAAGTGGTAAGCCTCCTGTGTAAATGCTCATCAATATTTATCTGCATAAATATTTGTAAATGGCTATGTGGGCTGCTTTGCATTACAATGCATTATTTCTAGAATACAATAAGAACCCTTATTAGTTCCAAGATAAGCTACACAATTTCCTGTTAGATAAAAACTGATAAATACACAGAAGTTGTGATCCACTTGGTTATATCAAGTCATATGAGTAGTAGCTCTGAGGTGGGATCTCCAGATGGTCATATAATCACAGTCTTTCCCAGAAACACATGAGACAAGTTACCTGAACAACTATCACACCGCAGGATAAAAAAATTTCAGAGGACACCACCTTAATTAGAACCTTTCCTGTGGTTATAAGTCAATTCAGCTCATATAAATTAATGCCCAGTTTAAACACAAAACAAAGGCATAGTGCATAGTGAGCTCCTATGATCCAATGGCATGTCTCTGGGAAGAACCGTAGAAGCCAAAGCTCTTTCTGGGTGTATTGATCTCATCTATAGCATTTCATGCAAAGCTTTGTGTCCTCCTTGTCTATGAGGACCTGGGAAAAGGCACCTGGGAAATGAGTGTTGGGGTGCAAGTACCCAGTTATTTCCAGTCCTAAGCAGGTCTTCTTAAAGCACAATTGCGGGGCCATGCCACTCAGGTCTGAGGCAGGAGCTCTGGGACAGGAGCAGGATTTGTGTTTCTAGCATGAGCACTAGTGGCACCCATGGTCCTGCACCAGACATACCAGAGTCCCTTGCTCTGGTCCTGGAAAAAAACACTGTTCTCACGGAGACACCTGAACCTAACAGTACAGCCTGATTCCCTGATCTCTCAATGGCAGGGACCCTCCTCATTCTCCTTT